CTCTAGTAGCATAGTGGTTACGAATCGGGCTGCAAACCGCAGGGTCAGCAGTTTGAAACTACCAGCTGTTACACAGGAGAAAGATGAGGCTTTCTGCTCCTGTAAATATTTACAGCCTCGGAAACCCTGTACAGGGTCGCTATGAGTCAGAACCGACTCCATGGGATATAACTACAACCAACCATATATATATAGAGAGAGAGAGAGAGATTGAGAGATTGAGAGATTGAGCTCTGGTAGCGTAGTGGTTACGAATTGGGCTGCGAACAGCAAGGTCAGCAGTTCTAAACTACCAGCTGTTCCATGGGAGAAAGATGAGGCGTTCTGCTCCTATAAAGATTTACATCCTCGGAAACCCTGTACAGGGTCGCTATGGGTCGGACCCGACTCGATGGCACTCAACAACAAACAACATATATATATAGTTATTGTTATTAGTATTAAGTGCCATTGAGTTCATTCCAGTAGGGTTTCTGAGGAATGGCTGGTGAATTTGAACAGGAGTCCTGGTGTGGCGCCATAGGATAAACACTCGACTTCAAGGTTGGTTTGAACCACAACGCCGGTGGTTCAGATTCATCAGCCACTCCTCAGAAACCCTATACAGGGTTGCTATGAGTCAAAACTGTCTTAACGGCACTTAACAACAACATATATGCAATAATTTTGAGTTTTGTTCCACATATTCTGCCTCTATTCTTGACATTCTAATGTGATCCCTTTCAGATAATTTGGTAGTGGTACCAGGCATCATCTAGTTCTTCTGGTCTCAAGAGTTGTAGAGACTGATGATGGTCCATTTATCTTTTGAACTAGTTGATTCCAAGCATCTTGGTTCCCATCAGTCTTCTTCTTCATATGTAGAAACTTGTAGCTGCACCTTAGATGGTCACTCAGGAGCTTTTAATATCCAAGACGCTACTCACCAAAGCAGGGAGCTCTGGTAGCGTAGTGGTTACAAATCGGGCTGCTAACCTCAAGGTTGGCTGTTTGAAACTACGAGCCGTTCCGTGGGAGAAAGATGATGCTTTCTGCTCCCGTAAAGATTTACAGCCTCAGAAACCCTGTACAGGGTCGCTATGAGTCAGAATCGATTCCACAGCACACATCAACAACAACAACAATTCACCAAAGCAGGATATAAAACATTGTCTTTGTGGATTATGTTATGCCAATTGACCATGGTGTTCCCTGAGACTATGGTCTGGAGGCCCCAGACCCAGCTACTCATTGCCTTAAGATGTTTGATAATATCTAAGAAGTTTACATCGTTTTACCCACTGTTTGTTCCACCATATTAAAAGTTGTGTTTGCAGGAAAGGTAAATACTCATGTACCAACATCCTCTTTCAAACTCATATATATCTGTGGAATATATAAATCTGTATACTCTTCCTCCCGTACCCATTCAGCATGTGTCTGCCCATGTATCCACAGAACATTGTTGTTCAAGGTTGTATATATAGATCACCATTTACTTCTATCCCCTTTAGCCCTTGTATACCTCCCTGAGTCTTCACCTGTGTCTCCCTGTTTTCATCGTCTGCCAGTCTCCCTCTTCTTGTATATTAACCCTCCCCTTCTTATATATTGTCCTCCCTGTCACCCGAGTTAACATATGTCTACTATCTAGCCAGTAAACTACTCTATCTTCCTACCCCTGGCAACCATCAAAGGATGTTTCTTTCTTTTTTCTCTTTCAAATGCTTATGTATTTGTGGGATATATAAATATATATATATTCCCTTCTTTTTCCCTTACTCATTCAGCCTATGTCTCAATTCATGTATCTATGCACAGATCACTGTTGTTCCAAAGCTGTGTGCATGGCACTATTTACATCTAATTCCCTTTAGCCCATGCATACCTCCCTGTGTCTTCCCCTGTCTTCATTATTCTTCTGCCACCCTCCCTCTTATATATTGCCCTCCCCATCACGTGAGGTAACAAGCACATCGTGTTTATCAATTCGCTTTGTCCTGTTGTTACTCTTGTGCTTGTCTTTGCTTTCTAAATGTATATGTTATTAATGTTAGGGAGATTGCTCATTTTGAAATCCCTGTGAGATGGTAGGGTAGCTTTTGTAGGCCAAGATGTGTTCATATATATCTGAGGGGTGGGGTTAAGAGTCCCTGTGGGAATCATCCAGGCCACAGCCAGGGTTGCTGTCTTCAGAAAGAGATGCAGCCACAGATTCTGCTTGGGTAAACAGAAAAAAACCACCCTGACTGAATTGGTGGCAGGAACCTGCCTGTTCATTTGAAAATTACTTAAATTACTTACTTGGAGACAAACTCAGCAGAGAGCAGACTATTTTCTAACACACTCTGGAATTGTTTAAATTCCAGAGGGATAAGAATCAGGATCAGAACAAAGCTGGTTCCTATGAGGTGGCCAGGGATACCGCCACTCTGCAACTTGTTAACCATTTCTGACTCTAGCCATTTACCCCATGGTACTCTCTACTGTTCTGCCAGCTTAACAAATTGTGGCAGTGGCCACACGGAACTCACAGACCATACTCACGGTTAATGTGGTTTATTAGGGAAGTGCCAGTGGGTCAGGATCAACTTGGGAGTAGCAGGAATACCTGAATCAGGAATGGGAAGCACATAGGCAAGGTCTGGAAGTCCTTCAGTGCAGGACAGCAGTCTCAGGATAATGGACTTTTCTCTTGGTTGTACTGGAAGGCAGGACCTTCTCTCAGCTAGGCATGACCCCTCTTGGCTGTGCAGGCTTCTCTGCCTTTTGTCTACCAGCTCATGGCCAGCAGAGCAACTTGTTTATGTAATACTCTCTACCCACTAAAAAGCCTTAGTCATTGAGTCAATTCCAACAGCAGTTTTCTGCTGTTGACACCAGCTCTCTGCCACAGGCCCCCTTCTATTCCTATTGTTATCTTCAGTGTTACAGCCATTCACATGGGTTATAACTCTCTTAGGAGGTTCCACGCTTCCTCCTTTTTTCTCTCTCCTGGCCTTTAAAGCCCTTTAAAGTGGGGTTGGCTGCATATGTAAGTCAATTTCAAGGATTGGCCCTCCCATCCCAACAGGACCGTTAACCTACTAATCCCCATAAGTCACTCAGTTCTATTGGATGGATTTTCAAACTACTGTGAGAAAGATGGAGTCCTGGTGTGGCGCTGAGATTTAAAGCATTGGACTGAACGGTCAGTCTGAATTGCAAGGTCAGCGGCTCAAGCTCACCAGCCTTGGTGACCCTATACAGGGTCACTATGAGTTGGAACTGACTTCACGGCACTTGATAACAATAGCATGAGAAAGATGAGACTTTCTGCTCCCATAAAGATTTACAGCCTTGGAAACGCTATACAGGGTCACTATGAGTCAGAATCAACATGATGGCACTTAACATATGCATAGTATATTGACCAGTCCCCACAAAGTATATAAAATAAACCAGTCACAGGGCAAATTGCAGTCCGAGGCCAGATAAAAAGTATCGGACCACAAATTGTTTATGGCTTACCCAGGAAATATCATTCAACCTGGACAAAAGTAACAAACCCTTTACCATACAGAGCTAACACAAAGATAACTCCTCAGCCCTTGTGGGGAAATCTTTCAAGCTGTTTTTCCAAAGAAAAAGGCAACAAACTACGTAAAGGAACTAATTTCATCACACAGACCTTGCTATTTGTCTCCAGAGTCCAGAAGCTCAACCCCAAGAGATCCAGGAGGTTAATGATGGAGAGAATTGGCCCTGTGTATATCTCAGCTTCCCCTGTCCAGGGGGTTGTCTGAAGCTTTTAAAAACAAAAACCAATCTAGTTGCCTTAGAGTCAGTTCTAACTTTTGACGACTGCATGCATGTCAGTAGAGCTGTACTGCAGAGACTGCTGAGATCTCTTGGAAGGAGATCAATAGTACAGGTACCTCTGGATGCATTTGAACTTTCAGCCTTAAAGTTAGGAGCCTTGATGTGTTTAACAATTTTGCCACCCATTGAAAATTTTAGCAGCCCTGAAATCTGCATCTGGCTGTGGGCTTTATGATGCACCAGGTTCCTGTGATGCTGCTGTGTATAAACACCACTCAGGAGACTTTTAAACTCCACCCAGGTCCATGTACTTACGTGTCTTCTAGACAGCTTCTCCTCTTTGACCCACAGATACTCAGTTTCCTGAATCAAATTGACAGTCTTTCCCCTGAAGCGTATTACTGTCTTCTCCATGTTGGTTCATGCCTGCCCATCTTCCTGACTCTGTCCTGTGTTTGATCACCCTGCCCCTCACACAGTTCCATCCTGCAGCCACCTTAGTCCAGGCCCTGCTCCTTTACTCCTTGGATTGTGCAGTAGTCCCCTTTTTACTTCCCTTTACCACCTGTGTTTTCACTGATACATCTCAACATTGTCAGGGTAAAGTACAACCTCCTTAGCGTGACCCTTCCTGCCTTGCATCCCTGCCCAGCCCCACTGTTGCCTCACCTGGCTGTCTTTCCTCCCACCTGGGACAGTCTCTGAAAACTCTTCTCTAGAAAACAACCCTGATTTCTGAAGTGTAGTCCCTTTTTTGTACATCTGCACCTCTTGGAGAACACTTGGCTAATTTGATTGTAACATTTTTGTCTTTTTTTTAAAGGACATGGCAGTTCTTTACTCTCGTGTGAGCAGTAAAATATATATAACAACACAAGTGCCATTTCCATCACTTGTACAGCTACACACCATCACATTAATTATGTTCCCATGTTCTTGCTCGTCTTTACATTGCCAGTGCCTGGCACATTTCTTGGCACATAGTCAGTACTCAGTAGGTGCCTGTTGATGAGTCGATGAGGCACTGATAGTCTGAAGTGGCATCTCCACAGGTGGCTGCTCTAGGGATTCCACAACAGTTGTGTGGCCTCAGAAGGCTTGTCATGGGGCAGGAACTCTGTTGTTCTTGGTGCCACCCCGCAGCCTTCTGCTGCCCATTGCTCTGAGAGACAGTGGCATGAGGCCCTTGTGCTCATTTTGCAGGCACTTCTGGGGAGGCGGGGTCATGCTCATGTTCATGGCCTCTGACAGCGAAGAAGAAGTGTGTGATGAGAGGACCTCCCTGATGTCATCTGAGAGCCCCATGCCACGCACCCACCAGGAGGACAGGCAAAGTCCAGAGGATGGAGACAATACTACCCAGTGGGTAGGTTCCCACAGCAGTTTGAGACTGAGACAATCCCCTGGGGTTTCCATGCCTTAGGGAGGAAAACCAGGCCTTCCTGGATGTGGGAAGATGGGGAAGTGAGGTGGGAATTGGACAAAATGGGGGATCTCGCTGGTGGACCTGTAGAGGCATCTTCCACTTGTAAGGACTTTACCTGACCAACTTTGGGAAGGGGTTGATGTTTCTTAGTGCCCTGTAGGTTCAGGTTATACATCCCCTGAAGAGTTTGATGCTTGGAAGCTAGCACGGTGAGCACAACACCTAAAGTAAAACTGCTGGAGGGAACCATGGTTTCCAGAAGATAAGCATACTTGATTTGTGTTTGAGGGCAGTGGTGGTTCAGCAACAGAATTCTCACCTTCCATGTGGGAGACATGAGTTTGATTCCTGGTCAGTTCACCTCATGTGTAGCCACCATCTGTTTGTCAGTGAAGGCTTGTTTGTAGCGATGATGTTGAACAGGTTTCCGTGGAATTTCCAGACTAAGTCAGGCTAGGAAGAAAGACCGACAGTCTACTTCCTGAAATCCCATAGAGAATAGCAGTTCATTCCCATTATAGTCACTTGACAACAGCAACAATTTGTGCTTGGCTTCTGAGCTGAGGACAGATAATGGGCTACAGTGACTTATCTCTGCCACACACGGTGCAGGAGATGAGAGCATTGTGAAGAGGAGATGTACTTGAGAGCTTCCTTTAGCCATGCTACCTCACTTCCTGTGAAAGCAAAACAGCAGCCAAATTTGCCTGAAGCCCATTCTGTTTTGAAACCCTTGGCAAGTAGAATTTTTCTTCCTTGCTGAGATTGGAGCTTGTTTCTTCATTTATTCTGAAATTTGTATGCATTTTTGTTCGGTTCTTATTCATTGGCAGTTCTCCTTTCCTTTCTCAAATATTTAGATTAGGATTCTCTCTGCAAAGAACTGATACTGAACAATATTTCTGACTTTGGTTTTATTTGTTTGGTTGTTAATATAATTAACATGACAACTAATGACCCTAAATTACCCAAACAAAATTCTACAGATCATTTTGTGCCTGAGTCTGGCACGCTTCCTGCCTCTCATTGATAGTCTCCTATCTTCCCATTAAATAAGGTCCCTGGTATTGTAAATGATTAGTCCTCTCGAAGCTCTGGTAGTGTAGTGGTTACTAATCAGACTGTGAACTGCAAGATCAGCAGTTCGAAACTACCAGCTGTTCTGCAGGAGAAAGATGAGGCATTCTGCTCCCGTAAAGATTTATAGCCTTGGAAACCCTGTACAGGGTTGCTATGAGTCGGAACCGACTCCACGGCACACAGCCACCGCCACTAACATAAAAAGGTTGGCAGTTCAGATTCACCCAGCAGCAAACATGGAAGAAGAAAGTTTGATAATCTGCTTCCATAAAAATTATAACCAAGAAAACCATATGAAGCAGTTCTACTTTATAATACATGGGGTTGCCAAGAGTTGGAATCCACTCAATGGCAGTGAGTTTAAGTTTTCCATGCTTTCCCATGTCTACATACTGGACATTCACTTAGCCTCTCTAGAGTTGTAGAATTTGTATACTTGATTTTGTAGGGCAAAAGGTTAAAGTAATCCCCTCCCCACCGCAGATTTCCAATGTCATGTTCATAATCAAAATCCCCACACACATGCTGATGAATCTAGTTTATGATTATCAAACAAAAAGATCTTCATCTTTTCCAGCTACCTGACCTGTGTCCTCCTAATCAGTATGGCCATGTAAACAGAATTGAACAGTGTCCGGAACCACCAGTACTTGGGAAGAGAAAGATCTTTTGATCTATAGCCGCTCTAGCTGTGCTCCTGCAGGCTGCCCTCTTTTGGACTACACTGACCCTACTCTTGGATTGTGGGGCTTAGTGCCAATTCAGAGTCTTCTCCCCTGTTGTCTTAGTCAACCTTTGAAATGTCCCAGAAATGCCAGCACTCTCTCTGCTGTTGCGGACCGTGTAAGACTGGTCAGAGGTTCGAGGCCCTATAGGCCCAAGTGTAACAAATGAGGCCACTGGCAGTTAATGGCAAATTG